CCGCGACTTTTTCGTTCCAATAAGGTCTTACGTTTGTAGGTTGGGGAACCGAAGAGTTCTTTGGGAGAGCTGAAGGCCTCTTTTCGCTTGCATCTTTTTGTGGTGTTGTCGGTGGTGGTTTTGGTGGTGGTTTTGGTGGTGGTGGTGGTGGTGGTGGTGTTAGCATAGGAACGAGTTTATGAGTTTACGATTTTGAATAATAAATGAGCTGGGGAATATGTCTTTAAAAATGTTTATGGTGTCAGTATTCGAATGGCGGAACCGAAAACGCATACATGGCGAAACACATACAATAGCGAAACGCGTACAATCTCATATTGAAAGACGGAAATGCATACAATAGCGAAACGCGTACAATCTCAGATTGAAAGACGGAAATGCATACAATGACGAATCTTATATGGTGCCAGTCACTGTGGTTGCATTGAATAAAGCTATTGTCTACAAAAACTTTTCTGAAGCTTTGACAATTGACAACAAAAACTCAATGGCAGCAAAAAGAAAAATCTGACGACTAATAGAAGATGCCTTTTCTTGTTTCCAAATTACTGCAGCAACAAGTTATTCTTGTTTTCTTATATAGACCAAAAATAAAAGCTTATTATTATAGATCCATAATTTATTGTTTCCCGATAATGGTTACTGGCTTAAACAGGAACCATTTATTAATTTTGGTAAGTCTACTGAAATACTACACTACACACCTAATAAGGGAGACAAGGCTAACATAACAGTCTTCCAAATAAGAGGCAATCATTTCACCGACAATCAAAATGTTTACCAACATTATTTCAAAACCATCCTTTTTAGGTAATTAATTGCGGCAAAATGAACTGTTGCGGCGAAATTATTGTGATACGGACCCCTCCCGAATCATCTCTAAACATAACGAAGAGGGAATATCAATATGGATTTGAAGTATTTAAGAGAGTTTTTGGAAGACGACGACGAGATGACGATGACAGGAACGACTGAGAAAAGGTAGGACTAGCTATAGTTTCATCTGATATTTGCATCTGGATGTGAGATGATATAACATAAAGGTCCTCCCGCAGTAACAAAGAGTTGCTTACAATTACAATTGAATACATCGCCCAAATTAGACCCTTTTCATTTGCAGAATTGCTATGATGGAGACTTCTATAATATTTCCCGATTACTTCAAGAAGAACTAAATTTTCTTCACAACTCCATTCTTTTTTTCTTTTGGAGTCATGATTATCGTTTTCAATCTCTGCTTGTGAAGAAAGTTTATGACTTATTAAACAGTTATTTCTACTAATACTAATACGTTTTACGTGTTATTAATTAAACAATACCCTCAATTTTTATTGACTAATTTCCCTGGCTGTAACGTTACACTAGAGTTTATCCAAACATGTCGTTTTGTTTACGTTTTACCCAACTACCTTAGTAACGTGACCGTATGTACGACGTCTTCAACCAGTCATCAGCTTTGAAATATTGTGTCGCAAACAGACAATTGCGCGCTCATATAACGCAAACGGTGACGTCATTTTTTTTTTGTGATTGCGGAGTGGGCATTATAGTTTGCCTCAACTTAGAGCAGTCAATATGAACACTACTGAATATGAACAGAGTGTTAACGGCATAAATGGTGAGTGCGCTCCATATTAATTATTGTGGCAGGTTAAAACGAAAATGAGGTGTAATATTTAATCATGTGAACAACACCAACGTCGTCGTACATGCGGTCACGTTACTGTAACCAACTTCTGAAGATCTTGGGGTAGTTGTTTTACCCGCTAACGAGTCTTCGAGTAGCATGCCGTCTGCTGAGGTCAAAGAGAATGTCTTTCTATTCATACCCAACATTATAGGTATACAATTTGCTAATGTCACACGTCGTTTCTTACTATCAGCGTTTCTCTAACAAAGTTGCAGAGCTGACATGTACCATTCTTAATATCAGGGTATGCTCGTATCGCTCTTGCAATCTCCTCTTTGTATTTTATGCCTACCATGCCGTGGCGTTGTATGATATTGTACAGCACATCATGTCTATTGGATGCAGTGGACGGCAATGCAGCCCGATATTTTAACCAGTGTATTAATCACATTATTACATTATTGGTTGTTACTGCCGATGCACTTGCTTACAACGCGAGTTTATTATTTCAAACTTACTAGGCAGCAAGTTTGGAGCTGTTTTGGATATGGTGACAGACAGGTAGAACCAATTTAGTGTTAAAGCGATTGCAACTGACAATCTGTAATTAAAGTTGTTTATCCTAATAGATCAACAACTACGTGTCTTCTTTGCTATTTGGCGACGGCTTACCCCAAATGGTCAATAGTCTTTCAACTGCTTATTTCTTTAGATCTTAGTAGTCATTACATGCATATGTACAGGTGAGAAGCTGATCAACCATTCATTTCATTTCAGCTTGACGTTACATATACTTATCCATGGATGTTTGTACCATTCCATTTATCAAGCTCGCTGACTAGCGGTAAATCAAGTCATAAACAAGTTTCAAAGTCATCAAATCCTATTATGCGTGCATATTATTCGAATAATGTAAGTTGTCTTTGTTCCGATCTTTATCGAATAACCTCGGATTAACGACGATGTTACTCACTTGTTTGAAATATGACACCATTATTAGAAAGTTCTTTTTACAATCTGTGCTCTTAATGAACTTTTTTTTGTTATAATCTATCTCTTGTCATTTGGATCAGAACTTAAAGGTTAGTTCTTGTTCGTTACCTTAAATTCATAACTGTCGATCTAATATGTCATTTCACGAATAGGCATCGATAGATCTCTGTTAAAATGGTTTGCTGTCATCTCGCTTCCGGTTTGCGCGGGAAAGCAGATTATCAATGTAATCCAATTGATGGGAGCGAGTCAGAAATTAGCGAGTATGGATCTAGATGAACGAAGAAAAAGGACGTCATAAGTATATATGAACAGTAATCAATAGCAGACAATTGCAATTGGCGAGATACGTCCTTATTAATTACGATCTATAGTCCCTCCGGTTATAGTCACTATCTGCCTATAGTCACTAGTAGTTTATTGCCAAAACCGCTTTATATAAAATTTCCTCTGCCTGTAGTGACACTTATTACAGTATTAATAAATCTCCTTATGACCGCTGTCTATAGTCACATCTGATCACGTGTCTTTATTTAATTTTGTAAAACGCGCATTGTGAAAGTTGGGAAAAAATTCAACTACTTATTGTATTCCCACTAAAAATGCCAAAAACTGATGTTCGTAAGCGAAAGGCGATTTCTTTAGAAACAAAAAAAGCATTATGCTTATACAAACGTGATCATCCTGACTGTGGTTGATGGAAACGTTTAACCTAGATGTCGACCGTTCAACTGTCACCAAAATAATAGCTGAATCAGAACGATGGAAAATGGATACTTCTGGTAATGCTGGACAATTGATGAAAGAAAGGAAGAGACATTCACCAAGGTTAATGATGCCTTGAGCGAGTGGGTAACAAGTGCATTTCTTGCAAACCACATCATCAACGGCAAGATTTTACCAATAAAAGCACTCGAATTTGCTCAACGATTTCCTGAGGAAAGCAATTTCAAAGCATCAGACGGATGGCCGGAGGGTTTCAAAAAGCGAAACAGTTTGCGCCAAGTTAGGTTGCAAGGTGAAGCAAATAGCGCGCCATTATCAATATTACCAGAAGAAAGAGATCGCCTGCGTGAAATAATTGGTAAGTATGACATACTTGATTGTCTATAATCCCCTCTGTCTATAATCCCCACAAACCAGCTGACAAATTGGTGTGACTATAGACAGTAGTTGACTGTATATTCACGCATATTAGTTATAATCTGATTGTAAAAATGATGCCGTTCAATTGATTTTTTTAAAAAAAAGACAAGGTCTTCCTATTACATAGAGTTTGTTATACAGACTGAGTTATAGACATTAGATGAGATATTGTCAATCAAAATCTTACATCCAAGGCAGTGAAATTCGTTATATTGAATATCAGAAAAGCTAAGACAGACGTGCTTTAATCAATACAATGGACAACGCTGTGTTTTTCCTTTACTGTTTCAATTCATTTTTTCTCGGACTCTTGTCGTTATTGTCTTCATGTATTAACCGTGCCGGAATTAAACCTCGCCGAAAATATGATTTAGAATAAATATAAGCAAGCAACAAATCAATTAAGCGCTTGGAATGCTGCCCCAAAATGGGCAAACATTCAACTCTCTCTTTCTAAAGCAAACGAGTACAGGCTGCCTATATGGTATAGTCGCTTCTCATGGGGATGATTCTAAACCGGCTCTAGCCTTGGTCGCATAACTTGACGACTACAATATAAACACATTTGATGCATTGTCAACTTAACTAATCAACTATGCTTCTCAATAGCCAGTTCTTTGCGGATTGAAAAATATATATAACACTAAACTAAATCAACGATTTAGATAAAAGTATTGCCGCACTTTTAATGGACATGCCTCCCTGCATTACTCCAAGACGAATGTTGAGCAGTCTGCATAGAGTTTGGGATTTTGAATTTAATACACGAAGACATTATTTTCTCTAGATAATTAGACATTCGGGTAACTTAAACCATTATTTAAATAATAATAACGTGCATCATTATTAATTACGAATAAAGACGGTTACAAATTTAGTTGCTAACTTTAGTTTCACATAACGTTTAGGTTGGCCATGTGGAGAGACACACTGCATTCAACATTGCATACATAGGATTAAGTTGAAGCATAAACGTGTAATTTTGAATCTATGATTTGAACCTCAATGTCTCCAGGCGTGACAAATAAAGCAATGGTTATTTTACACGACAAGGCTGCCACTTGCAATGTTTACCATATAAACAGTTTGCAGACAAGTCACACGATCTATGTCATGTAAGTCATGCATTCTAGTCCGGGTGTCATTTATTATAGGGTCTATTAACTCTTGATGCTTAATTAGAAAATCTCGTAAATTATGATTTATTGGTTCCTGCAACATATTCCTAATAATTGAACATTATAAACAATTAAGTCTCGTGTCGATATCTATAACGACCAATACATGGATCCTACCTGGCTGAGTTTATTAACATGCTCCCTGAATTCGAATGCTGCATACCAACAGTCTAATGTTCTATTCTTATTCTGCCTGATAAGTTAGAACCATCGTAAGTTTTTAGTAGAATTACACAGAATTGTTCAGATAGTGCTCAGCTCACCTATAACATTCAATGACAGCTCTTCGTTGTTCTGCTACGCCTGCAGAACCTTTATTGTCATATTTTCTGTTTAAAATACGCCCAAATCAGTTGCACATCAAATTAACCAATTTTTATTGATAAAAGACATCTTCTCCCATTTATTTCTTTTTACCTCTCGATTCTTCCGATTAGTTCCTCAATGTCCCGTTCAACCACAACAGAATTCACGCCACTATCCGGATACTCCTGTCTGACTTGTGCCTCTGCTCTCGAAAAAATCTCGTCATCCAATTCTTGAATACGCCTTAATTCTGCAGCTACTCTCACGTTGACGATTTGATCAATTTCACTTGGATCCATAGACGTCGACATTGGTTGTCGTGGACGCTGTGGAAGGAGTTAGCACTTGGCTACAAATAAATGAGTATGTGAATTCTAATCGATACTTGCCTTTTGACGCGCTTGTAACTGTGAAACTAGCTCATGGGAAAACTTATAGAGAAGGGAGGGGGGAAACAGAAACAATTACCATCAGTTTCGTAATGACTGCTGAATTGGATTATTTTGGACTATGCCCGAACAATGACATTATGAACGCATACTCTTATAGGCACTTGGGTTTCATTATACAAAACTATGACATCTGACTTGGATTGGCCCCCACCCATAGTTTGTACTGTTAGGAAATGCTTGCGAATTTTTATGGATAAATTTTTGTTTCCCTTTTATAAGTTGGATCTCGTGATACGTGTGACAATCAATGGATCTGATAATTCTGATAAAGTCTGTCATTTCATAATAATTAACTATAGTTTGAAATCACCGTAATCTAGTTTTCTAATTAATCTAATATGGTCATTAATTGCTTTATAAATATTGTCAAAATCATCGAGATCTTCAAATCTCATTGTATTCTCTCCAAGTACGAATTCAGCTTCACGCGTACGCACCAAGTCTACCAAAGAAACCGGTGTATCGAGCTGTTTACCAATATCTCTAATCAAGGAACGAATAAAGGCCCCCCCACCACATTCAACCTTAAGCTTAAATATCGGATATGGAGACTCACTAGGTGATTTGGACGACACTAACGCCTTTGATTCATCAGATATAGCGTCGACGTCGTCGCTGTCTTCACGTTTTCGCATGATTGGTTTATAATTATGTCTTGTCGTATAGTCGAGTAGTTCCAAGCGATCAATACGCACGAAGCGCGGTTCAGATGGTCTTGTTACTTCAATTTGCTTACGACCATATTCGTGTAGACGTGTACCCTCATCTATGTTCACTGCAGTATATCTTGAAATTTTGATAGACGAACAAGACAAGTTATTATTATCTAAATTCTGCATGGACAGCAATATGTCAATGCAACAACACTCACTTTGGTGGCAGCTGTCTAATGACTCCAACAAATTTCGGTAAAATGGCTCGTAGTTTTTCTTCAAGCCCGCTGGGCAAGGGTTTCTTCTCAGCGTGTTGTCCTCGAACATCAAGAGCATCAGATTGAAAACCCAACATTGTGGTCACTTCATAAGTCTATCCTACCGTACAAATTAATTCAATCGATCAAACAGATCAGTCGAATCGGTCACATCCCTACTACTAAAATACTGTTATGAACTTCACCTTGTCGCATTTTGTAAATCTTTTTAGTTCTTTGGCTCCATCATTAACTCCCACAACCAATACTCCTGCTGCTATATCGTCCAATGCTCCCCCACATCCCAATTTGACTACTTTTCTACGCGTCATTTCTATTCTTGTGGATGCTGCATGCGCACGGGAGACCTTGTCGATTAATTCTAAAACTTTGGCGCATGACATACCGCGCGGCTTATTGGTTGCAAAGAGTCCATGGACTTTTATCTTCTTTGCCATGTTTTGTTGTGCAATAATCGACTAATTTTCATCGGCCCTTTTTTCTGCTATGTAGTCACCTGAATTTTCTCATCAGCCTTGACTCTCATTGGACGACCCGTCAGTGGCGCAAAATTGTGTTTAGCCTCACCAAGTATGTCTTATTCAAATAACATTATTAACGTTAACAAGATTTCTCTTAATATTATATATGATACGAATAACAAAAGAAGGGCTGAAAAAATAAAAACGGGTTTATTTAATAACATTAAAATGTTCCGCGAAAGTAGTATTGTCTTCACCAAATACATTTACGAAAGTGGCTAGTGTGGCTAGAAGATCTACTAATGTTATTTTAACAAATACACTGCATTTTTATAGTAAAACCGAAAATGCACAATATAATGTTGAGGATGGAACTGGAATGGGAAAGGACGAAACAAAAGATAGTTTGAATGTATTTTAAAGGCAGCTGATCAAGAATATGCTAATGCACAAGTTATAAGTTATTGCTATCGCACTTTTATATGTATAAATTGACACGTGACTAATTCACATCACGGAATTAAAACATGCAGTCACCGTGAATGAATAAACTTAATCATGAAAGTAAAAATCAAACGGTAAGCAGACTTCCCTGTTTCACATTCCGGTGTATTCTTGTCTTGAGCTTTTTTTTTTACGCGCATTAAATAGCTGGCATGCAGTAGCAGTCTGGCGCTGGGATGTTCCAAACGAAGAAGTATGTGGTATATGTCATGTCGCGTTTGACGGTTGTTGTCCAAACTGCAAACTTCCAGGAGATGACTGTCCCTTGAGTAAGTCTAGCTACGTTATTTGACCGAGTTTTATGAGCGATTAGTCTTAAATCGGTGACATAATTCGAACATAGTCTTTGGTGAATGCACCCATGTTTTTCACATGCATTGTTTATTGAAATGGATCGAAACTGATGGCAGCAGACAGCAATGTCCTATGGATCGTAGGACTTGGGGTAAGTCTACTTTAAGAATTCCAAGTACAACGTATAAATCAACGAATTAACTTGGTTTTTCAGTCACTGCTAGATCCCAATCTGACATATAGCTCCAAGTTTGATTTCTTGTCCAAGAGACCGGTAAGTTATTTGATAAATACTATGGCAGTCGTTATCAGACTCCTTTTTGTAAAGCGCTGAATTAATCTTTGTTCTAATTGATTTGTATATTTCATGGCTGGCGTCCTTACACTGCTCGCAATTTACAATTGTTCATTTACTCAATTCTAACTTGCATTATTATTAAATTAATCCTTTTTGCTTCTTCTACTTTATCCAACAAAATTTTTTTGAATTTGCTAATAAATTATTTGGATATCGAGAATTGACGTGAAAAGACGGCAAATTAAGCCCGCAAGTTTGCTTATTGTCCGTCACATTACAAATTTTTGTAGGATTCGAAGGCTAACTGTTTTCAAGTGATAGTGAACGCGCAATTGCCTCAGATATCTGTTCGTCTTCGTCCTCGGTCGGTGTAGACAACAATATTGCGTATTGCATCATCTCTTCATCGGTAAAGTCTATACTTGGGATGTATCGTTCCAAGTGTCGTCGGCGCTCTTCCCTGTCTCGTTGCTCTCGTGCAAGCAATTGCGTTGATTCCCGGACGTCGTTCTGAAATTCTAACCGCGCTATTATAAATTTATATTAGTACTTGCTTCTGTACATACCGGAGACTGAGACCACAAAGTTGGTGACAAAAAAAGTATTACCTAATGCTTTGGATGTTGATGATAATGCAGGCTTTTTTCGTCGTTGTCTTCCCTTTTTCGCTAGAGAGGAAGATATACAACAATTTATTAAGGACTGCTATAAGGCAATATTACTATGACATATAGTCGCAATATTAGTAATACGTGAACCGTATGTCAATCAATCTTACCTCCTTCCTTCGAAGCCAGATACCATGTTCTTATTGTCCTGCCCATAGCAACTGTAATCCTCTCATCATCACAACAGATACATTTTATGGCAAATGGAGCACTGATTCCTCTTGCTTGTGCTGAACGATAGTGTGACCTCCGAGTTCTAGGATATCATCGAGTCGATATTCGAATATGAACTGGGATACTATGCTAACAAATTACGAAACAGTTTCCTTACACCGTACTAAACTGCCGGATCAGCTCTCCAGTTAATTGATCCCAAACAGTGACCTTGCCGTCAGCACTGTTCGGTGTTACAAGATTTGTAATATCAAGAATGGTTAGTCAAAACGTCAGGTTCATTCATTATGAAATCGGTCCAACTACCTGCCGATAATCAGCTTATAGTCATCCATGAACGTTGCCGTGATTTCGGTCGTGTGATCAACAAAAACTCTAGCATAACGAAGATTGGTTCGTTAACACATAATGTTTACTGGTATAATGATACATGAAGTCATGCATACCGTAATGGCTTTATGGAAGAGACCTGGCCACTGTCCCGTTCAGCTATGTTCCATAGACATAGTTTTCCACTTGCATCCCCAGTGAGTAATATTCTGGCTGAAATCTCTGGATTATATTTACCAGTAGTTACATTTTTCTCGTAATACTCAACGTAACTAATATTTGCGATATGGCCATCTTCTAGCATTGCCACACAAACCAGTTCGCGTAAATCGTATATTTTCAATAGAGTTGAATCTTCATATCCCACGATTACCGAGTTAGATACCATATCACAATGTAGTGATTTGATCGGTAAAGTTCCCTGAATACAGTGGTGTGGAACGTCCAAGACATTGTACCAATGTAGAGGATTGTTTTCAATGTGAGTGAGGTCTGTCTGCCAAACGTGTATTGAACCCTCAGCCGTTCCCGCAATAACGCAGCTATTTGGATTCCACGCAATTGCCTTGATATGCGAAGGTGATCCTATTGATCGATCCAAAGGTTAAATATTCAAATTGTAGGAACACTGCATTGTACAATATACATAAGCTATACGCTTACGATATAACGTGCACCAATCGCTAATTACCAGAATAAAGTCTTCCAAAGCATCCAAATGTCGCATGATATGCACACACATATCCATCCTCGCCGCCACTCAGGACTACTCCTTCACAGTTCCTCGACCATTCTAACACCGTAACAGCGCCTTCATGTTGCGCGCGGAAGTCTTTATAATTGATACTTGCGCCCTGTTTGATAATATGCGTGATGCCGACCATTCCATTCGCAAAACCCCAAAGAATGCGGTGGCTTTAAGGTTTAGATTTTGATTGAATTAAATATATCCGAAAGTATAGAAGTCTTGTGATCACATCACTGTACGAATCGGCGTCAAAATCTCCCGTTTAAACGATTTTGGTGTCAAGATATGGATAATGTACTATGGATAAGTAAAAATGAAATTTTCATCCTCACCCGTCTATTTTCATTACGGTCACTGTTAAATTCGCGCGTGTGGCATACATCTTGTCTTTGATAATTCGTCCAGTAATAGGATTGCAGCGCACAATAGCAGCTTTGTAAATTAATAATAAGCAAATGTTAATATAAACATCGATACGATCAGCACCAAACGACAACTATCTGATGAGTACATACCTCGCCCCACTGAGCCAGCAAGCATCCATGACCTTTCAAAGTCAACATAGAAATCATAGATTGTCTCTAACCGGGTGTCAAACGATATGACCGAACATTGTTCATTTCTCCATCTCCTACGTTTCACGAACCAGAATTAATTTAGTTGAGTATTTTATAGTAAAAAGTGTCAGAAGGCAAACAATCAAGTCATCTACCTTAACAGCTCATCTCGTAGTATGTATTCATCTTTCCATTTATACCGCGTTAACCTACTATAAAAGGGTTATTGTTGGTAGAGAATCGGTGTTGATCAATAAGGAGAGAGGATAATTTCAGCAAAAACGGGTGATTTAAAATTTTACCTAAAAGGCAAGGATCCAAAACATCGCAAAAATGCGTTTTTCCAGCAAGTATCATCACTAATTAATGTCTTCCAGCGTTTACATGCTTGGCCGGCCATTCCCTGACAAAAAAAGCCCCCCATTCCTCTTTAGTACAAATGCGAAAGATAACCCAATTTTTTCAGTGGTCTGCTTCAGCATCATGTTAATTTGTATCGGGTACGTACAAGGGAAAACGGATCACAGTAAGAAAATATGTGATTGAGTATCTCAGAAGGTAAATTATTCGCATAACAAACACCACTAGCGAGGCCAAGTAACAAAAGAAATGAATAGAAAATTCCGCAGAGAAGACAAAATTGCGCAGAACGACAAATGCTTACTATAAATTAACTGAACTTTCGGAACGTCGTCCATCGTTGGCGGATAAGTCTCGAGAGCAGTGGTTTAGGTTCTGTTCTCCTTCAGAAGACACCCACAACGAATTCTTGTGTGAGCTGCGATTCGCTCGACTTTCATCCATAGAGAATGCGGTAGCGTTTTGAATTGGTTTGTAGCTCGAAATTTTTATTTATTTTTAATTTATCATTGGTCCGATGTTAAACGGATAATGCCGTGTGGCGCTCGTGACGTCAGCATGACACGCTGCTTAATGCGTAAATTCTTTATGCATTTCCAGTTATCAATGGCCCGACCATATACTTGCTAACCGATGGCTGAGTTCTTGGATTGATAGAATGTTTGTAGATTTGTAGTGCATCCTGTAGATGACTATATTAATGTATTACTGTGTGTAAAAGGATCCCATCAATGATTCCGCATTACATTGCAGCACGGGACCGAACAGTCATGTGATTACGTGCCACTGATGAATTTTACATATCGATATCATTTTGACCTCCAAATAGTAACTAGACCTCCAAAGCAATATTCAGATCACATATATGCACAATACCCATGGCTCTACGCGTGCCCAAGAGTAGTTACCCTCAACTTTTCAAAGAAGGTTACAAGCAATATCAAGGAATTGATGAAGCCGTGTTAAGGAATATTGCTGCTTGTCATGAACTCGCAGAGACTGTACGCACTTCTTTTGGACCAAATGGTAAGGAAAATAGGCAAGATAATTACACGATTTGTTCTCTTTGTCAAAAAGACTGGAATTGCACCAGCATGACGTACTTATTTGTTCATAAATTATCCGCTATCTTACATAAAGGACGAAATAAAATGGTTATTAATCATCTTGAAAAACTTTTTGTTACGAGTGATGCCGCAACAATTATTCGTGAGCTAGAGGTGGTGCATCCTGCGGCCAAGTTGCTAGTGATGTCCAGTCAGCAGCAAGAACAAGAAGTCAGTTTGATCGTCTCGTTTTGTCATCTGATTTACTCGGTTAAACGCGTCTAGTACATAATAGCGTTTTATAAGCTTGCGTTGATCCAATTACTTTATCTTGTTATCTTAGGTTGGTGATGCAACAAATTTTGTTCTAGTGTTTGCAGGTGAACTGCTACAAAAAGCAGAGTATCTTTTGCGTATGGGCGTTTCTATTAGTGACATCATACAAGGATATGAAATTGCTCGTGATAAGGCTCTCGAAATATTAGAAAGTCAGTACATTACTAGAATATTTGTTAGTTACGTATATTTCCTACTACAATAGCTTATTTGTCTACCTCCTTAATTTTTAATAGCACTGTCTGTTGAGACTGTTGCTGATCCCAAATCGGATACAGAACTCAAGAAGGCTATAAGGAGTGCGATGGCATCCAAACAATATGGCTATGAAGAACTTCTCTCTGATCTAGTAGCACAAGCCGCTCTCACGATTATGCCTAAGAACCCAGTCAATTTCAATGTAGACAGTATCCGCGTGGTTAAAATCATGGGTAGTAATATATTTGACAGTAAAGTTATAAACGGCATGGTCTTTGGACGTGAGGCGGAGGGTTCGGTGCACAAGGCTTTAAAGGCAAAGATTGGTATTTTTACGTGTCCTTTGGATATTACGCAGACGGAGACAAAGGGGACCGTTTTAATTCATAATGCCCAAGAAATGCTGAATTTTACTAAAGATGAGGAGAAGCGTCTGGAGCAGGTAGAGCAAGATGGCTATATTGGAAAATCTGCTATTCATGTTTTTATTTATTCAAATTTATCTTTCCGTAGATATTTAAAGAAATAGCCGATGCGGGCGTAAAAGTAGCAGTCACCGGCTCTTCAGTTGGTGAACTTGCTCTTCATTACTTGAATCGGTTCGACATAATGGTCGTCAAAGTTCTCTCCAAATTCGATCTTCGTCGTCTATGTCGAGTGACTGGAGCTACTGCTTTGGCTCGATTGGGTCCGCCGATGCCAGAAGAAATGGGCTTTTGTGACATCGTCGAGACTGTCGAGATTGGTGGTGACCGTGTAACGGTGTTTAGGCAAGGTGGGATATGTTATAAATTAAAAATGATCTTCTATACGACAATTACCTTACGGTATACAAGTGTCTGAATGGTTATAACATTGCTTTGCGTCTGCAGAAGATGAGAAGACAAAAACAGCAACAATTGTTATTCGCGGAGCTACTCAAAATCAACTCGACGATATCGAACGTGCTATTGACGATGGCGTCAATTCGGTCAGGGCTGCCACCAGAGATAATAGACTGGTTGCTGGTGCTGGTGCAACGGAGACAGAATTGGCTAACCAGCTTTCAACCTTTGGCGAGGTATTGCATTCTGATAACCCGTTCACAAAGTTCACCTTTTGTATTCATGGCTGATGTTTAGACCTTTTGAAAAAATTACCAATTTTTGATATCAACTCGTTTGTAGACAACGCCTGGATTGAATCAGCATTCAATCAAAAAATATGCCGAATCGTTTGAAGTAATTCCTCGCACTCTTGCAGAAAATGCCGGAATGGATGCTACCAAAATTCTTTCCAATCTTACCCGAGCTCACTATAAGGAGAAGAAGGTTACGGTTGGCGTTGATGTTGAAAATACCGAAGATGGTATGATTGATGCATCAGAAGCGAAGATATTTGATTTACTTGTTACGAAGGCATGGGCTATTCGATACGCGACAGATGCTGCATTAACAGTATTACGTGTAGATCAGGTATGTTTCGTATGGTGACTCATGATCATATAAAGATTTTTTTCTTTTGCAGAATAGCATCAATTAATAATGAAATATTCCTCTTTGTTAAGATTATTATGAGTAAACCAGCAGGAGGTCCGAAACCTCCAAAGGGAAATAGTAATTGGGATGAAGACTAAAATAAACGGTTAAGGTTATATTATTATGAACGCCTCTCTTGTGTTTACCCAAAACGAATAAATAATAGAAGTTCGCTCAAGTAACCGATCATGTGAAGTAACTGGTGGCCCATGGAGGGACAATTATTTTCTTATGCAATAATTATCAAAGTATTATTATACCCATAAGTTCTCATGGTCCTCTTTCGGGATGATGTCACAAACAGTTTCCTTTTTTTGAAATAGTAAAGAAATATATCCAGTATATTCTAAGGGTTGGCATCATGTTGAGCTGGAATTGCCGCATAAAACAACGCACGCGTACACGCACACGCATCCCGCGCGAATTCACCGATTGTGAAAGACCGAGATCGCAGCGCCGGCGCCGCAGAACTGGAAAAAGTGGCGTGCCACCCGCGCCTCATACAGTAACAAAACGCCAATCTTAATTGCGCTTGTTGCATTTTCGTGCCTCTGCAGACAGATGGCTTCGGCCGAATGGGGAGCCATCGGGGAGTTTGCTGGTGAGGACTAGATATAACATATATTCGAACTTTCACCACGGCGAGGTTTCAACTTTCACTGTTCGTCATGACAACAGCTGTCTCGAAAACCAACAAATTAATAAACAACATAATAATAAATCTTACTCAAAAAGTTGGTGGTTGACTCATGCTAAATTGTCAAGACTCGCGACGCGGAGCGACCGCCCTTATTCCGTCGCACGCTTCCGAGCAAATTACTTTACATGTTGGTTATGTTTAATGCTCGGTTTTGGCGTCTATTTGTCTTCATTACAATTTCGTCGAAGTTTTATCGGTATATAAATAATTATTCGGTGGTCAATGGACGGAAGAACGTGACGTTCAAAGGACGGTTAGTTATTTCGAGATGGCACTGATATTATATGGCAATCGAAACCTATTAGTTGAATAAGGAGAACGCAGCCAATGAGTATGAAGCTCAGGATGATAGTAATAGTTATAAAGATGACAAGCAATCAGGATAATTATTCTAACCTGTATCGTATAGTTGTGAAAATACATGAGAATCATTACATTGAAACTTTATAACGCTCAGAACCTTGACAGAGATCGTCTGTCTAACTATCAGATGTTTGCTAAACCTTAATGACAATATTTCTAATATTAAAAAACCAACCTGCCAACTATGGCCAGTTTTAAGTAGTGCAACATTCACTAACCATTCTCGGAGTGGGGGCACCCAGGTCAGGAAACTGTCTCCAAAATCACGTTGTTAAAAATTCAAATATACAATAAATAGCTCGTTTCACAAGTCTTGTATTTGTTTTTCTTACACGCGCTTTCCTTTACGTGAACAGGCAGTATGGCTAAAATGCGAAGCAAACGAGGTAAGCAAGTAAGCAATCAATTGGCTAAGAAGAGAGAGTTTTCCTTTCTACCCTCGTGTCAGATGCTGTTTTGACGCACATTGCTAATCCTACGCCCTACTTCGTTTACATTGTATAGTTCCCAAGGCGCCTACCCAACCTCGGGCCAAGAGAGTGAAAGCAGCATCGACCTTTTCCCCGTTGCCTGGCCCAGAAACATACCCTACTAAAAAGAAAATCGCTTTCGTCATGGGTAACGGAGATTGTGCACAGTTGGGATTGGGAGAAGACTGTTTAAAACGCAAGAAGCCAATGCCGATAAGAAGTTTAGAGGACAAGAACATCGTATATATTGCCACCGCTTGCCTTCATAATGTAGCTATAACAGAAGATGGCAAGGTTAGAAAGTAGTAATTGATGCTTGTATTGGGCAACACAAGTCGATTAATGCGTGAATTGTGGATGGACATTTAGGTTTATTCGTGGGGATGTAATGATCACGGCGCTCTTGGAAGGACAACGAACGAGTCTGATGAATATGTGCCTGGTTTGGTAGAAGGATTGGATGGCGTCAAAATTATAAAAGCTGTGTGTGGCGGAAATATAACTTTAGTTTTGTCTGAAGAAGGACGAGTTTACGCTGCTGGAACTTTCAAAGTAAGTTTTTGGATGAGGACGAATTATGTTTGTTGTAAATTACAGGATTCCAATTATCTAATGGTACCCACATATCTCGCATTCTCTACTGATTGTCTGATTTACAAGACGGAGGAAGGTTCTTTTCTTGGCTTCAGTCCGGAACTGGCACGCCAACAACAAAAGAAATTTGTGCCTCTCAAGTATCTCGAGCGTACCCGTATTGTTGATATTGGTGCTGGCTCAAATCATGCTCTTGCCCTCTCTCAGGACGGCCTTGTTTACTCGTGGGGTTTGGGTGATCATTCTCAGCTTGGTCGACGCATTTCAACCAGACGTCCTGATTCTTGGATATACGCAGATAAAGTTGCAGGATTATCTGGTATTAAGAAAATTGCGTGTGCTGCCTATCATAACTTTGCTATCGACGGCGATAAAAATGTTTATACCTGGGGATTGAATAATATGTTTCAGTGTGGATTAAATGTAGAAGGAGATATACAGTATCCGACAATTATAGAGTTTTTTGAGGACAAGAATGTAGAGCAAATAGCGGCTGGAGAACACCATTCAGTCTTCTTGTTAGAAAATGGGGACGTCTACACGGTTGGGCGGGGCGACGCTGGACAGCTTGGCATTGGAAGTCTGCCAGTAAATAGCGACATTGAGCCGGAAACGAAGGAGGTTGAGGCAAAAGTACAAGATCATAAGGATGGAGAGAAAGCCAATGGCACTTGTAAGTTATCCTTATGCATTTGGCTATCATATGCTTTATTACGTTAAATACATTGTATCCGTATCCTGTCTTTTCATGTTTAAGTTTCTGTTCTTACATTGATCAATCCTTTCTTGCTGTTATTATAGCAAAGTCCACTAAAACGGCCGTATCCATACCGAGACGAGTAAGTGGCCTTCCACCATGCAAGTCCATTGCTAGTGGTGATTTCCATACATTAGCCCTGAGTCGGGACGGGAAAGTATACACATGGGGAAGCGGGATCACATACGCACTTGGGAACGGCCGTTCGATAAGCGAAGACGATGATACTGGTGCCGATGAACTTGTCCCTTACGAACTTACCGGACAAAAAATCATCGGTGTTGAAATAGTGTCAATTGGCGGGGGCTCACAGCACTCGCTCTTACTCGGTATCCAAGACCGGACGGAGACGAACTCCTAAGGACAATGTCTGGTAGGATAGAAGTTCAATAAAGACATAATCTGAAGCGCTATATGATGTGCTGTCAGCTGCCGTATTGTCATTTTGTCTTTGTATAGTGTAAGATTTCATTTATTTCAAATTGCCAATAATATAGATGATTGTTTATCTTTCCAATTTAGATAATGGACGCTGTTATTGCATTGTAGTTACTAGTCAGTAATTGATGTTTGCCCTTGTCATAGATGATTATAGTTACTGACTTTTTAGCTGACAGATGAATTGATCTACCTACAAAATATATCGTATTAGTCTCGGTCTCGTAATAAAACAATAATCTGTGTCATAGCTTGGAGTAGTATTTCTGGATCAAATTAATTATTATAGCAATCAATTGCTGTCTACAACAAAGCAAGTGCATTTACGCTGCACAGTTATTAAATCAGGGATTCATCGATTATCTGTATCAAAGTAGACAATGAAAGTAACTATAAACTGTTGTCTATGAGGAATCAATTGCTAAAAACGTATTTCGTAGAACCGTCCCGTGCTACAATCGATAAATATCAAAAAGTTACGATCTTCGTGCACAGGATGCAATGGCACCATTATTATTCACCGTACTAAACAACGAGATATCCCTGCGCCTGGGTCGACTAAGCCTAGCGTCAAAGATCCTAGATACTCCAAACTGTATCCTAAATACCGTTCGAGGTTCTGTATTACATCTCACGCCCGATAATTTGCGTCTATTGCCTTTCCAGGCTGTTGGGATAACCCTGGAACAGTTGTAAGTATTAACGTAAACCGCTCTGTATCAAATAAAAAAAGAAGGGGAGGAACTCGATTTAACTTAAAGGTATCCTGCAAGTCTCGATGTACAGCCACCAGCTTCAACAAAGTTTCCCGGAGGCGCACATGAATTTTTCAACTTGCAAGAGTATTTGTTATACTTTGACATACACGATCCAGTCAAACAAGTCAAGGCTCGGATTAATTCTGATAAATTCATCTCGGTACGGACACATCAAGGGATAAGACAAGTGAGTTATGCTTTGTGTTAAAAGAGCTTTCTTGTTTCGTTGTCAATCGATTGAACTAATTATCCTTCTATAAGCTTACACTAGCAAACTATCTGTTGTATATGAATGCATATAAACCCGATTTTTTCGCAGCATTTTCTGATTCATTAATACAAAAGAATCATGGCGACAAGCGCGTCCAAAAGTCGGTTGATCGGACGCTTAAATGGCTGGACGATACACTAGATCGAATGGAAGTACGTTGACTTTTTGTCTGCTATTCAAGATGCCACCGTAATCTCATTTTTTCCCTCACATTAATTCGGATCCAATCTACCATTTGACGCAGGAAGATGCAAATGTTTTTGGCATGTTGGGTGGACATAATATTCGCGAAGAGAGGGTCAGGTCGGCACAAGAGACGGTAAAAAGAAATGTTGCAGGTTCATACATCTACAGGTGTAATAAATGTAATACGACCCGATCGCCATTTCATTTTATTCTAATGTAGAAATTCAATGTTTAGGTTTTGTGCTGAATGTCTCTGATATTGGAGACACTTCCGAAGAGCGATTGGATCTGTTGAGAACTTCGCTCAACCACCTGCCGCAAGAAAAACCACGTCTTGTGTATGGCCTTGGGACTCCTGGTATTTGACCGTCAGATTAAACAATTTTTATTTGCGTTAATATTTTTTATTTAACGAGTATATCGACGTTTTTTTCTAAGGGGACATCTTACGAGCGGTTTCTGAAGGAGTTGATCTATTTGATACTAGCTATCCCTCGGAGATGGCTGACAACGGACACGCGTTTACGTTCAAGTTTGCTACAGACAGTAATGTTTCGGACGTTACAACACTATCGATAAATTTGTGGGACAAATCGTTTGCGAGAGACTTTCAACCATTTGTGACCTCTTGCGAGTGTCATGCATGTCAGAACTATACCAGAGCTTACACACATCATTTATTGATAGCACACGAGATGTTGGCGAGCGTGCTTCTCATAAGGTCAGTTGCCGAGTAAGTTGATTTCCTTGACTGAAACTGTTCTGACATTTAAACAGCCATAATTTATTTGTGTATGGACGGTTCTTTGAGAGGATAAGGAACAGCATTAAAATGAAGACATTTGATGAAGATATGCGACAATTTTTACTTCGACATGAGGGACAAGCACAAATTGAACACTCTATGAAGCATGACGTGGAACCGAAACGAAAGACGGATTATTAATAGACAAGGGATTGATTAATAATAGAAAATTAGAGCATATTTCTGTAAAGGGATTCGAGTCGCGTGCGGTGAAAAACGATGTCCAGTCATTTATTTGTGTTTGGGAAGAGGAACAAACTTTTTTTATTTAATACACACGATGTGAGCATAATTCCACAGGCTAAGTTCAAGAGCTGAAACAGATTGTCTGCCTCTGTAGTCCCATAAAGGTTATTTTCTTGCTATAGTCAAGGCGATTGCGAGAATGCTCAGTTTGAGTATCCCTATTTCCAACTTCTTTTTAACAAGTTGATTTCGGGGGGATATTTAATGAAGCGTAAATTTAATTATACCCACAAAACAATTGCGAGAGCTTTTTCCTGTGAATATACCACAACCGGATGTTAATTTGATGGGTCCAGAATTACCGAAACTCACTTCGAATGTCTCTCCTTGTAAGACGCAACTAATTAAACCACATCCTTTTAAACCATATATTATGATCTTCAAACCCAATTTCATTGTTTAATTAATAATTCTACAATAGTGTGTTTAGACCCAAATTTAACAATGAACGGTGACGTTTGAATAAATAGGGTTATATCATCAATGGTCCCATTCAATCACTAGTGCCATTCACGATGACCTATTTCAGTGTTCTACTGTTACTATGATATATTGGCATTGCATTGTTGTAAACGACTAATAATAATAAGAGAAAGAAACACCCCTGAAATCGAGTTTGTGGTCACTTCTTTTTTCGAAAATGCCTAAAGAACCAAAACAAAGGCAGGATGATAATATCCCACCACCACCACAAAACAATGTAAGTATTGACACAAATTCCTAAAATTTAAGCAGTGATCAATAATGAGCTGCGATTGTTCGATTGTAGCCACGCCAATGTCATTTCTGGGTGAAGCGAAAAAGGTAAGCGGGCGAGAATGTCTATCATGGATGTAGATACTTTTGTGGTTAACAGCGAGCATTATGACACGTGTCCCTTTTTTTGAGACGATATTGTCATCTTCCGACAAAATTAGGAAACAAATTCTGTGGTGAACATTTGATTTGTGATCAAGAAGGAAAGAGAAGAAGAATTCCATGTCCATACGATCGATCGCAGTAAGTGATTGTTATGTGACGACACCCATTACTCAGATACCTCCATCATATCATCTACCATAATAATCTCACAATATAGCACGGTGTATGAGGACGAGTTACAATCACACCTGAGAAAATGTAACGCAAGACCTCTTCCTAAACAACCTTACTTTTCCCTCGATATCAACTGTACACTGGCATCATCCGATTCCCATACAAAAATTGCGCTATCAGAGCTTCCAAAGGAAGAACTTGACGCTTTGATTAAAAAAATCGAACAATGGTACGACTTGCTCGTGCCCGAGATACAAACATCTGTCTTGGATCATCCAGTGCTGCAAAAAAAGATGTGAGTTTCACGCAAAAGTTAGGATATGATTGCAAGAGGGGATTATGAGTAAACCAAGAATTTGTTCCTGTTTTATAGGGAAACATTAAAGAATACAAAACATGCTATTCAGCAGGTGAGATGAATTGGTGATGCTCTTCTCTTTTCAATTATCTCATACGAAACTATCAAAGGCGTCTCTCCTGGGACACATGGAAAAATTGTCACTATTGCCAAAGGACGGTTGTTTTATTGAATTTGGTGCTGGTAAAGGTGGGTTTTATAACTTCCACTTACTATTTATATCAGTACAAACATTGACTTGTAGCCGATATATTGTTTGTAGGAGAATTATCGAGATTCGTTCAGGCGGCGGTTGCTGACGATGGCAGTGCAGTATTTATTTTAGTTGATAGGAAGAATATGCGCTTGAAGGTGAATACAAATTTGTTGGCTATATACAAAAAAGTCAAAGCATTTAAAATATGAATTATTCCCCCCACTCTTCAGTTTGATTCCAACATTCGAGCTGCTTCCGATCCATCGGCTGTAAGACGTATATGGAGTGACATTAAAGATTTAGATTTGTCAAAGGTTGATTTAATCGAAAACAAGAAAGTGATCGCGTTTTCCAAACACTTGTGTGGATCTGCGACGGATGTCACTCTTAAAGCGCTTGTCAATCTTGCAAAGTCTACAGATCACGGGTAAAAGGAGATATTTGTGTATAAGGATAAGAGTTTGTTGGGGCTTCATTCGTCCTTACCTCTCGGTTTCATTATTACGTCAAGCTCCAATAATCCAGTCGCGGGCATTCTAATCGCATTGTGCTGTCATCAACTATGTCGATATTACATGTATCCATATCAAGAATATCTCAACGAGACTGGCATAACGCCAAAAGATTTCGCGTGCATGTGTGCGATGAGCAGCTGGGCTATCTGCGGACAGCGGCCAAAGAATGACGAAGATGAAGATAACGATCATGATTACAATGATCGAGATTGTGTTTATGAGGATGAGAATATCGGGTGAGCGGGACAAGTGAATAACATGGAAACCATTCTGTATAATGTCGTGAGTTAATACTAAACTAGCAGCCAATCTTTTATCAAACAGACATTATTCTGGATTAGGACATTCGGAGAGAGAGATTTTAGGATACAAATGCAAAAGAATATTAGACATGGGAAGAGTGAGATATCTTGAAGCTAACGGATTTCAGTCATATTTGGTATATTATGTGGATTCGCTCGTTTCTCTTGAGAACGTGGCTTTGCTAGCAATACAAAAGTGAAGAGGTTATTAAGTAACAATGCAGAAAAATTATTATTATTATTATTATTATATATAAATAAATAAATAGATTTCGAAACTCGAAATCTTTATTAAAAAAAAATGTCTAAATGTCATATATAAAATAATAAAACAAGATACTTTATATGTACAGGTGGGAAACTCTACTCTCACGAAAAATCCCTCAACCGTAAAACACTAGTAATTTTGTACAGAATTATACAGGTCGACTCGGCTCGTTAGGTCTACGACTTTTATCTCCATCACTCAGCCTACGTTTACCCACAAGGGTCACCTTTGGCACAGCTAAAGTCCAACGTCGCCGTAGCAAGTTCTTTACTCCATTCTTCTTCTCATTTTCATCATTACCATTTGTAGCACAACTATTACTGTGCTGTCGGCGATGCCTACCAGAATTTGTCAAAGAGCCGCCAGTCTTGCAAATTTCGTATAATTGCTTGGCCATATCCTTGTATCCAAAGTCTGTGGCAATTTTCACTGCCAGCATATCACTTCGCCGGGGGTCTGCTCCATTCTTGAGCAAAAGCCTCGTTAACTCCCAGTGGTTGTTTGTTACGGACAGACATAGAGGACGTCCATTATCGGCATTAGCATCTGCTCCCGATTCCAGAAACAACTCTATCAATTTCCATCTGGCACTCTTGTTCTCCGACTCTGTATAAGCCAAGTAACATTGCATGGTAAATTCGAGAAGACTAGTTGAACCGAATTTTGCCGGTTCACCTATATGGCTCGACGGCGATATATTAATTTCGGCGCCATTCAGAATAGCCAGTCTGGCTGCTTCTACATCAGCTTTTTCGATGCAAAGTCGCAAATAGAGAGGATTCCTTTTTTGAATTTCTCCCAGACCACGTTCAAAGGCCCATCCAATTCCCTTTGTATATTGTTTGTCAACACTTTCCTCTAATATATCAAGCGTATGTTGTGGGTGGAGAGCAAGCGCTGTTGCAACATCTAGTCGTTCACGTAATACTATTGCAAATGCAAGTTCTGTATCTGAAAAGAAGCTTGGTTTATTTGCGAGCTCTTGTCGCAAGTCTAGAGACGCGTAGCCAGCGGCTTTCACTACCGACAAATAATCCTTTTCTAATTTGCCTTCAGGAAATGATCCACTGTCCGTTAAGTCGCAGTCTTTTGATGTATGAGCGGTAATATATCTATCTATCTTAACACCTCTATTAATTAGATAAGGAATGAGCTTCCCACTGGTTGGATGGGCATATGCTGCATCGAGCAGTCTTGTAACACTTCCGTCATATGAAGATTGCAGCCTTCGCTTTCCTAGGACTTGCAAATCAATAATCTCCATCAAGATGTTGAATGGAGCCTTTGTTTCTACTGCTTGACATAGTTGAGAATAAGACGGCATGAAAGATTTCGGCAGGTCAGGATGTAGCCAATATCTAATCCAGCCTCTTTTGAAGCTTTTGGACGTAACGACGATAGCACGAAACAGTCGGCATACTCCAGCTACTCTTCTGGGCACAGGGAGATGAATGAATATAGATTCGAGGATTTCGGGAAGTAGGTAATATAACGACGGCCGAGACGAAGTAGATTCGCTAATGGAAAGCTCTGAGAGAGCTTTGACAAAGTTATGGTCAATGTCACTTTCAATATAAGGGTCGTTGTAATCACTAGATTCTGAAGCACTTCTTGCAGTTCTGGTGTTTATTTGCAGTGCAGATTCCATTTTCTTTCAGAAAAGAAAAAAAGGTAATAACGTGAGAAACGTTGAATTGTGGAAGACGGTCAGTTTATAAGTACGCTGAAATATTTATTGTATAATCAAATTTGGGTGACGTTTAACAGCGGGATCACCTGTTATCCAAATATGAAAAAGTAAATGACGGTGAACCATATTTTCAAATTGGCTAATCCCTTCCCAAGTTTCGTATTGTTATATCATATTGACAACTTGCTTCATTTGCACTTATGCAGGAAAATCAGGGGCAAGGTTATTGGTCTCGGAAAATTTGTTTGTTTGGCATAATGATAATGCTATTTCCAGGGAAATAATTACCCGTACTTTATGTTCGTAAAAATTCTAATGTTTATATAAATATGGAAATGATGATCGAGAGCACAGAATTAGTGCATTTTTTAGACTTGTAATGAGCACTTTAGGGAAACCAGGCCCATTTTCAGAATCTCATAGCGACGTCTTCATTTACATGTTAAATAACATCATATTAGCTATCATTATCATGAACAGTTTCCGAAACATTGTTATACATCAAAATGGCGACATTTTCTAACGTTGCACAGACAATATCGCAACTCTATGAATATTCTCGAGTGTTTCAGACGTCAGTTAGATGGAGCGTTAAGACTGTTAGTTATCGGAGTATGTAACAATTATAAGAATCTGACGACGTATTGTCAAGACCGTCACAGAATAGTAATGGCGAAAAGTGTATAACAAACATGCAATGGTATCTAGACATCCTTGATGGGGTAACAATATCCCAACTTTATCCGCACGTGATGGTACATATTTAAACGTGATCTAATTTAATCATATCTAATTAAAATTAGGTAATTTATGAAAGTTAAATGTAAAGAATTGACATACTTCAATAACACTTGTGTTATTCATATGATATACATGTATTTATGAATATGAACTCATGCATAGCAAAAGTTGAATAAAGCTAGAGAATAATTACAATGTGAAGCCCTGCGTTAAAACTAATGAAATTTAATCCTCTTATTATTTATCGTTTGACTGTAAAATTTTTGCGGTCATAGTTTTAAGCTAAACTCTTTCAGAGCAAGGGTAAAGTTTTATAAGCATATACGGATGTCAATTAAAAACTTGGACAAAGGAATTTAGTGACTATACCGGGAGACAATAATATAAGCTTATTAGCAGGTCAACTACTTTACGCATAGACTCCCAGTTGAACGTCTACGACAGACGGACTATGTAAAAGATGACTAGTGTTACAATTAAGAATATTTGTTTTGGCAACGAAATCAAAGTTACTTTGGAGAATCAGACTTCTCAAATGCTGTATCATGATTAAGTAATCCTTGAATATCGCAATGTAGCTTACGTAAAGTCAAATTAGTCTTTTGTAATAACAAAACCATGTATAAAATTTCGAATAAATTATTGCTGTTGCTGATTTATAACAACCATAGATACGTCAGTACTTCATACTCGTGTGAACTCTACAAAGAGTAACTTTAAAATTATGTTGATTGTCCATTGCTTTGTCTCCCTGAATGGAGTTGTTGCAGGGAATACGCGTCTAGACTTGAACTAATATCATATGGCAAAAGTACGAGATTAGCGCACCACTGTCATATTGACATGATTTATTTTCTAAACTCACATATGTTACATGCATCTGACCTACTATCCAACAGGTTAAAGAAGTCATTTGTGCAAACACTGTGATGGCAAATATCAATTTTTTTTTCATGATGTTCCATGCAGTTAAAATAGCGATGGTAATCTAACATCGAAACATTACGTTGTTGACCGAACACACAGTGATAATTATTATTATTCAAATTAACAATCACCCTTGTTTAACAGCAAATGGCAAACAGTTTATCCTCAAACGATAATATTTTCAATAAACATCAAGAATGGGAAACTCGAGCTCATACGCTCTTACCATATTAGTTGTACATCTAATATACGTGTATAAACATCAATATTGACCATCTCTATGTTCTATATACGTCGGTCTTCTGGACTAGGCAATTCTCAAACTTGTAGCTTTAAAACATATGATCTTGTTTTACGTTAGCACTAGTTGGAGCGTAGCTACCTGTGAAAGTGATGATAATAGCTTTTTCCTTCGGCCCGAGTGTCATTAATTGCTCCCACTCCGCAACTTTTTTCGAGACACTATTCCATTAATTGTAAACCCATTATGATCTTACTGCGCAGAAATGCTAATGCCGACGACGCTAAATAATGCTTTGTCATCCAGTACCAACACAAAGAACGCGACACACATACTTGTACCTGTATATAGTCTGACACAATATTAAATATAACCATTTCTTAACACGCATATACCCTATTGCTTCACTACCATCGTCTTCAATGAAAGCAAACTTTCTGCTTCTCACAACGTAACTATACCGGTAGAGAGCCAATGAAATATTGTCGTGGAAGAATTAAAGTGGAGATGTGTTTATCAAATACTGTTATCGCACAATCAACTAATTATTATTTATGCTACTTGGCAGTTGAATAACTTATCTCTCTTTACTGATTATTAAATGCATTCGAAGGATTATGCCGTCAACTTACAGTTACATGATTGTTAAACAATTTAATACAAGTTAAATAAATTAAAGTATTGAACTATTCTTTTCTATCACGCTTAATATTAAATATTAATTTAACTTTCATAAACTTGCCTATACAGCTTATTTTTACTATTATTAAAACAATGATTAATAATAATTCTTTGTCGAAGGGTGCATTAATTATAAAAGATGATAAAGGCGCTCTCATTAGTTTACCTCACTTAACGGATTTGGCAAGCAGGTAAGTAAAGGAAGTAACAGCGATTTAGATTGTCAATTTTGGTATTTAATGAGCACTCAAAATTTCATCAAGGAATCCTTACTCGTTCTCAGCGAATGAGCTCAATCAATAATTAAAGTAATTAAATTCTTAGTATTTATTTAATATTAAGATTACGGTACTAACAATGGAATTTCTCCTAACCTAACTCAAACCCTAACCCATTAAGACGCGATTTTAATTTCCTTTATAAAATGTGTTGTACTGGTATTTAAAATAAAGGCGTATATAGAGAACAATAAATCTGTCGTTGCCCTCTGACTGAACAGCTTTTATTTGCTGCTTAACATCCACCATCCCATCTCGGTTTACATGTAGGATTGTTGCGAGAGAGTTTTCTCCCCGGGGGGGGGGGGGGGGGGGGGGCACCTTGACTTTTAGGCTTAGTCGTGGATTTTAAAAACCGTTATCCGCAGCTACGAAGGCTTCTAGAACTTATTATATGTGGCCTCTGGAAAAACTTCATTATATGTGGCCTCTGAAGACTTATAATAAAAAGTCCCTTCATTATAAAAGGTCCCTGGAAGAACTTCGTTATACATGGCCTCTGGAAAAACTTCATTATATGTGGCCTCTGAAGACTTCATTATAAAAAGTCCCTTCATTATAAAAGGTCCCTGGAAGAACTTTATTATACATGGCCTCAGCAATATTTGCTTTTGGACGGAGTTTGGAAAGAGACATGCGCAGTCGGACCCCATTTAAATCCAGACATTTAAGACATCAATTTTTGTATACGTCATCATATTCGATAACGTGATAGAACTACAACCAATATATTTATTATTGTCCTTATCGTCTTGAGAATCAGAGACTTCTATGGTAGTGAAGGATTCCCCCGTTTCTGTTGATGCATAATTATTTTACTTGCAGTGCTCTGATTATCTATTATTATTATTACCATTTTTGAACGTTAAAAAATGACCTTTCTGACAAACTAGGAAAGTCCATTGGTGATACATATTTTATCATACTCAGTTGCTATTAGCGCTACTATTGTTGTTATTGACACCCCCAGCCGCTAAAATTGGCAGCAAGGCGAGATCCCACTGATTTTCGGAATTTTCCTTTCTAAAATTTTCTATTTCTTCTCGCATACTATCAAGTACATCTGCATTTACCGGATAATTTTTAAATAGATCCTAATTGATAGAAATGTTAATATGGAACTTATACTTTGGGTTGTGTATTAAGACGTGTGGCACTTACTATTATCTGTTGGGTAAGCTGTCCAGCATCTTTAAAGACTAATCCATTCTTTTTATGCTTGACTAATTCATTGAGGCTAAAGACAAAAAAAAATTCTTATATATTAATTCAGAGTTTGTCATGCAGTAATGGGCATGTAAAAGACGTACCATTCATAGTGTACAGCGCAAACAGGCAGTCCACATCCAAACATGTCAATTACTTTCATGGGAAGATCCATCCCTGAAGATGACTTGTGCAAGCAAACACCCAGATCTGCTGAACCTATGTACAAAGAGAATTGTGTAAAAATCGCACTCGTAAGACCAAATCTACCATCTATTTCTCAATTATTATCTGCATAATCAATGTTTCCCCAAGATTCATCCCCCGGATCTTCATTAATACCTAATAACAGTGGGTAGTCTTCGGCCTCTAGCCACAGGCTCACAATTCGCGCATTCTTTAACGTCAGTCTACTAATCTCCTCCATGTACTTATCCCGCAGAGGCCCCTTTCCAGTAATTACAAACAACAACTTGGGAAAAGTATCCTTTCCCGCTGACTGTTCAGCCGCGTCATCATATCTCTTTGCAGCATCAATTAATATCGAAAAGTCTTCATCTGCCGTCCAGCTTGTGCTACTTACTATCAGGATTGGCCTGTCGATGCGATAACGGTACGATGGTGCCTCGGAAGAAGTATCAACAACTTCGGTAGTCAAAAGAGTTGTATTAGGTGAGGATGGTGGTAGGAAAGATGAAGAGCTAATTGATTGACTGGTTATAGTTTCTTCAATGTTAATACGTTTTAGAAACTGTTATAATGAATATGTATAAGTAAAACGCCGACAACATTATAATTTGTACCATTATAACAAAAGATGTTTGCATGTAAAACCTTATGTATTTCTTTTATTTTTAATCTTCGAAAATGTGCCGGTGGCCGGTCGTAGAATGTAGTAATAATGCCGCTGTTCATGATTAAAAAACGTGTGAGTGTGAGCCATCTACTTTTTTTCATTACGTGTACGCGTACGTGTACCAGTAATACTTACTCTACTTCCCATTTATAGAGCAATTCTCTGTGCATTGCAGAAGACACAGCCAGATGCGCATGAGCTCGCCGTCCCCAGAATTTCTCATACCTACAGCAGCATGACAGTACATATAATACAATTGATCTACCATAGCCAATTACGTGAATAGATCTATACATTACCATTTAGCAAATTTAACCACTCGACTATTCTGTCCTAATCGCATGGCCAAGATTGTATATCCAAAGTTATGCCAATCTACTATCAGATTGGTTTGTCGGAGCCAACAGACAAATTGCACAATCGCTAGCGTCGGAATGGCGGGCGGATTCTACGAAGAGAGTGCGTGATTTACATTTAGATTTAAATTATACCAATACCTAGTGACACATAACGCTGGGTACTGTTGATTACCTGAACAAGAACGAAATCGGGAGATTTTATGCGGAAGAGTAGGGTCCAATATAAGATAACCAGTTGGAAATATACTTTGAAAGCTGCAACTACAAGATATAACGCTTTTGGAAGATATGCGGGAAGTTTCCATGGATGAGGTATATAATGAAGTTTTATAGATGGATGTTCTATGATAGAGTTCAATGGTTTGGCACCTAAAAAGAAAGACATGAATAATTGTCGAAATTTTCGAAATTTTTTAAATCGCATAATCGGATCGTTCAAATCGCCAATACAGTCATCATAATTACCATCAAACCCCACAAAATCAACCCAACACTCATTTCTGGCGAAATTCAGAGCATGGTATTGCATTCTCGGTGACCTGCCAATATCACCCAACACCACCAGTGTAACGTGCGGTGTCCTTGGCCGTAAATTAGCATCTTGACGGAAGTTAATGTATAAACTAACACCACGAATAAATACTAACACAAACGTAAATATAGCAAGTAGTGTTGTTTCTGATATGGGTAAATCAGTCATTTGTAAAGAAAAAGAGAGAAGAGTAATGTTTTTCCATGTTGGGGGGATTATGATAAGATGTGAGATAAAATTTTCAGGGAGATCATGTGTCTATTCCTTTATTATTATATTATGAAATTCTGGGCAATAAATCGAAAATACAATTCAACTTTCATACACGATGCCATCATCAACAAGTAACAACACTATCAACTCTACCAGCGCAACTTCCTCTCCACTTAACTTTCCTCCAATTACTGAGCAACATATAAGAAACTGTTCCTTCTCCTCTTGGTATGAAAACTTCAAGAGAATCACGTTAAAGTCAAAGATAATAAAGCCATTGCCAGATGAATTTATTAAATATTTACATGCGGATGGTGTCTATTTACCAGATAGAAAGTATGTGAGATTAGCAGATTCGTAAACTGAGGTGTGGGTTGTGTGAAATGACTAATTGTTGTAATTGTGAAAGCTATTTGGAGGGTATTCATGCTGGAGAGATAAGCAGCGATGAAGAATATGGTTATGAATCACCCTTTAAGCAAACTGGGCAAAATGGAGAAGAACAAGAGGACGACGAGGAAGAAGGAGAAGGAGAGGTTGTTGTTAATTATTTATACGCTGCGTAGCATGAAATCGCGTCTAGATTGTAATGAATATATGGTAAAATTTCGAGTTTCCAGCATTATGTTGATTTTTTTTTAATGAGTATGTGAGCTGAAATAAAATCGGCAAGAGTTGTTTTTACAAGATGATTCTCGAGACGTTATTTGAAACGAACGCATATTTTATTTTAATTGACATTATAAACTTGTGAGTTGAAATCGACATGAATGCTAGAAACTTGAAGGGTTACTGTACACTCATTAGAAACTAAACAACACTCCCCGATGGGTGACTTGATGCTCACTTAATGAATTATTCACAATATTTCAAGGACATGATTTCAAGCTTTCCAGGATTAGAAAAAGAAATCTGGGATATAGTGAATGGGTTTGGTGGTGCAGTATTTCCAAAACTTAACTGGAGCTCCCCAAAGGTACCGTCCCTATTGTATCCCCTCAATTCATTGTTTTGTGCGCTTACCATTAATCGTTTAATCCATTTTCTCTCAGGATGCAACCTGGATCTCGACGACCAATACGCTAAAGTGTAATTCACCATCAGACATTTTTCTTCTACTAAAGTCGTCGGACTTTATTGCACATGATCTTGATCACGCTTTCGAAGAATGTTATTATGAGGATGAGGACGTTTCTAGGAAACTACCTTCCGACGAATTTGAATTAGTACTCCGAAAGTGGTATGACGTGGCTCCATCAATGGAGTTTCGATGTTTCGTAAAGGATAATGAGATTGTGGGTACGTATTTAAACAGCAGAGAGCATTTTAATGAAAGAATTAGCGTTTTTAAACGTTGTATCTTTTGCATTTTATTGGACGGAAAGGCATCTCACAAAGGGACATTAATTATTATGCTTTTTTGCGAGAGATTAAGGACGAATTGGAAACAAGTATCACCAACTTTTTTGAATCCAATATTAAAGAAAGGTTTCCTGATAGTAATTGTAAGTTACTATTCTCCTGTATGTTGAAAATCAATCTTTCAAAAATTTCTCAATGTATTTTGCCGTTTGATATACAGACGTAATTGATGTATACATAAGCAGGAATAGGGAACGTGTATGGTTAATGGACTTTAATCCGTTCGGGCCAATGACAGATTCTCTGCTCTATAGTTGGGAAGAGATCTTAACTCGTCCCTCATCTCCCAAGCTCCGTCTCGTCACTAGCCAAGCAGAGGCAAGTCAGTCACACAACATGGCCTACTCTGTCAACAGATATCCACGGGAAATGTTTGATTTCTCACAGGGACAGACAGTTGCCGAGTTTGCTGAGAGGTTCCAGAATGCGCTGGCTGTTTCCGGAAGAGGTAATGATGAAGAAAGTGAAAATGAATGAGATGCCTCACGGCGAAGGTACATATTTATAAAAATTATAAAATACATAATAATAAAGATATTCATGTAGCTATATACAGTGTGTTACAAAAGTTTTTGCAAAAATAATATTTATCACTACGACACAACCGTTGCTTTGAGTAATATGTAAGATACCTCGTTTAAAGTTAAAAAGGTGTAGTTTTATTGCCATTAATTAAAATGAGACGCGTTCACCATTTTTTCAATAATTGCTTCACACGTCTTTCGCATTGACTTTACTAAATTTCTTAAGTCATCATCGGGAATGGCATTCCATTCCTCAACCATAAAACGCTCTAATTCACCACGGTTTTGAGGCATTCTTTTTTCCACCTTATTCAGTCAATAACTTAATAACTTCAAAAACATTTTATTTGGCTAGACAGCTGGTGAGATTGTTATCTTGTTGGAGCCGCCATTTATTTCCCATCATTTGATAAACCTTTGGGATATGTTTTTGAAGTATTTCCACATAGAATGCGACGTCCATATTTCGAAAATAAATATAAATCCGCCTCATGCGAGAATTTTTGTTCGATCTTTTGGACGAGGGCGGATTGGTCTTTCGCCTTTATGCCAGCGTTTTATGGTGTTACGGAAGAGCTGAAGGCTTGTCTCATCCGTAATAATGTTTTCTTCCAGTTATCGTTAAGGTAATTTTTGGCCCATTCAACGCGCCTTTTTTTATGGTCTGGGGGTAAGCATTGGTATTACTAGCAGGCGTGTTGTTAATTTTTTATAATACAATTGTTATGTTTATTATGCATTTTACATGACGTGATTTGATACAAAATTGGAAGAGCTACGCGTATTTTTGTTATCGTTATGTCAATTTTTTTGTAGCATACAGCCGTCCACATCGCCTGACTTTTAAATAAATGGGCATTAGCGAGCACCTTGCTGTTAATAAAAGTTTCCTCTCGATTAACTCATTGCTGAAATATTTGTGGGTCAATCCCTTCAAATTGTTCCTTTCTTGTATATTTGCTTAACATCATTATTTAGTTTAGTCAATAGCATTTCTAGATAAAGTTGACTAATCCATTCCGGGTCGCTCTCTTGCGGAAGAACAATTACATTCCCGCCTGTTTGCTTCTCTTACTCTCTTTCCTCCAACATTTCTTATTATCCGTTGTTATCCATTATGTTATCCATATCATGGCAGCACTGGATTCATGGTGAAGAATTTACAACGAGGATGCAGACAAAGACACACCAACGCCTGCAACTGTCCCTCTACGTTATTCTCTTGCGCTTTAATCACTGTTTTTAATGAAGAATTTTGGAGAAACATGTAAGTAGTTTGACAATGAGGCATTGCTTTGTTGCAAAATGACATTGTTTTACAAATATTACTCTATTAATATTGTAGAAAAGTGCTACAAACCACAATATGTCGATGGCTGCGGATGGGTAGCGACAACAGAAACCCCAACGACAGCATCAACGGTGCAACCACCGACAACAGCGGCCACAGAAGCCCCAACGACAGCACCAACGGCACAATCCAGTTATCGTCAACGGAGACGCTAGTCGAGAGCATACGCATAGTGTATAACACTAACGATATTATTAATATCGTATAGAACGGATGTCGAATGCAAGGCGAGAAGAAAGACTGAAGGTCGACCAATTTGAGTAGGGTGTAGACTTGGAAAAAGGAAGAGAATTAATAAAGGGGTGGGAAAGTTAAGCATCACTGAATAGGAAAAGAACATCACAGTAGTAGGAGAGTTTATTTAAGGTATAAAAATAGGGAAAGGCTAAAGCGGAGCAGAACGTGATCCTGTATTTGCAGTTTTATTATTATTGGCTGCCATACAAATTTGACCAATGCAATTGCGGATCTGCTCCGCTTTAGACATGCCCTAAAAATAGCAACGAGTTTGATGATACGCGACCGTTCGCGAAGCTAGTACTACGCGAGAACTCTCCTAGCACTTATGTGATACAAGTGCACTTCTAGCCAATAAAAAAGCATGCTACAGAACTTTCAAATCAGACCCAAACCCGAAGCCAAATCAGATTCAAAGGAAACCATTGTATGGACAACTGTCGGGGTCGTCATTGCTGCTGTGGGTATGTTGTTCGATGCGGTAAGCGATTACAAAGTTATTTAATGATCATATCCTAATTAAGTACACGATTTGTAAATTTAAACGTCTCGGTTCAATCTAGAGATTAAATAGGTTTGAAACCTGAATCGACAATCAATTAGAGCATGAACAGTGAAATCAAGAAAATGAACAATCGATTCGACAAGCGATTTAGACATATCGAAGCTAAGTTGTATGGCCTGACGTACAATATATTGTTATAAAAAAGACTTTGGAATTCACGTCAGAAAATAAAGTTTATTCTTCCTTACATACAAATTTAGCTACTTACCATCATGAATATACTGTACCTACAGCTAATTGAACAATTACATCTAATGTCAAAAGATGGTAATGGCATATTCTATAGATATTATATTAAAGCCTTGTTACGATGTTCAATATCGAAAATTTTAATTTAACACAAATACCTCATTATTATCCGTATCTTGATCAGTGAATTTTGACCGTTTAATAAAAACTTATATGTAAATGCAAACTTACAACGTTTTCAACATTTTTACAGAATTGGGTATCTTCCCTAGTGCTGTTACTAATAAGATAAACGCGCTGATTTTGGAGAAAGTTTCTGTTTAGAATCATGTGCGCATGACAATCTCGATAAATTATCTCGGAAATGAGTTTCTCTGATTATTCCAAGATATATGAGTAAATTTAAAAAAAATTACACTTTTGCCAATTATAGAAAACTGAATATCTTTATGTTCTTTTCAAATCCAGTAACAATGACAGACACGCGGTATTCAGCAACGAGTTTGGGACGTTTTTAACAAAAAAGTCCAGACGACTGAAGTTTTGCGACAAATCTCATTGAAAATTAATCCATTCAAAAAATAGTGGGAAAGTTGTGCTAGAATCTTATCGATTTACGAAATTACAATCCACACAAATAATTTACAAGCAGTCGTTGATACCGCACAACTCTTTCTATGTGGACATTGAAATTTTGTCATTTTTACATCGGCAAACATGACAGAAACTATCCAACTGTGCAAGCATATGTTTAACGTTGAAGCCGCATCGTTTCCGAAAGCGATTAACTCAATTCCGAAAATCAAGAAAATAATTATCCGGCTAAATAGACTTCCTAATAAATTACCTATTAGGCTTACGGTCAAACTTTATATCTAGTTAGTCAACTGTTCTAACACCCGCAGTAGTTGACGTAATAGTGACGTAGAACTAATACAGTCAATTGTTTTAATGTCCGCAGTAGTTGACGCAATAGTAACGTGGTAATTGCGTGTTTCAATCCGAAATATTACGTGAACTCGAAAAAATAATAAAAAACTCGTTGTAAACAAGGTAACGCGCTTTACGCTTTTTACCTTGCAAAAGATAACAAGCGGACTTTTACAAATGGCATACGACACAAGCGCGCAAAATTTTTTCTCCGTTCCGAGTTTTGTTGTGTCAGCACGACTGGC